ACACACACACACACACACACACACACACACACACACACACACACACAGAGAGAAAGAGACAGAGACACGTCATTGGCTTCCACAAGTACACTCATTTCAGTCAGCGACTCATACTGTGTGGCCTGAGATGAACACGCTGTGCACCTAAACACACCTTGATGCTGTACTCGCGGAGCAGGTGCAGCATGTACTGATCGATGTAGTGCATCTCTTTGGGGTCCACAGCCTGGACACGTGGGTCGAAGCCCTGCAGGTTGCCGAGCAGGAACTTCAGAGTGTTCCTCAGCTGAAAGAAGAAACGGGGATCAGACGTGAAAAATAACTGGACAATAAGCAGTCACTTGCACCATGTGCTCACTGCACTGGTACCTTGCCGATGCTGTCTCTGGCTGAGTTGAGAGCAGTGGGTCCAATCTGAACCTCAGAGAAGATGTTTGACTCCGCCACCCACCAACGCAGCACATCCGCCCCGTAGGCTGGCATACCCGGGTCCTGGAGAGGGCAGGACATGTGAGAAAAAAGTGTGTCAGTAATGTGAATTTTGGATTGAAATTAATTTACTGTCGTAAAAGTAATTGCAAACTGCATTGGCTGAATGCTTCATGAGCACATAGAGCACAGATGCACCATCAATACAAACATCATTTTATCTTTAGTGAATCAGTTAGTGACCCCTGATAAAAGGAACTGATCACCCCAAGCACTAAAACATACCACTTACTCCTTGAGGTGTCTTGCATTGCAGAGAACAGTTTAGTTTTATCTGTCCAGGTTTTGAAATACCATCTGAATTGCTAAACGGTTCCAATGGATGAAAAAAATCTATTCAACTCAGATTATTAGGCTGTGGTTAAGGTCTCAGCAGCAGATATATCAAAACCGTGGCAATTAGAAGCAGAACTATCTGCGTAGCTACACACCACAAAGAGAAGGTTCAGCCTTCTATGATTGCAGAAAGCCGTTCTTTTCTTTATACGTATGTATAGAACAGTTTCTCTCCCCTGACCGTACCTTCCCTCCATTAATAACTACATCTGGATCCACAACGTTGCCCACAGACTTGGACATCTTCTCTCCTTTTTCACTGACAGCGAAGCCATGGACCACCAGAGACCTGCACACACAAAACCACAGTCTCATATTAGCAAAAGTAGGATATTGTATGTATTACATATGTTATTGAAAATTTGGAATTTAAAAAATATATATATTTTGGCCTCAAAATGTTGTTCTTAACTACTTTGCGTGGTACAGCATACTTTTGTAAACACAAATTGGTATTTGTGTTTATTATTTGTTTTCATCAACTGTTGCTTAAAAGAAGAACGCCACTAGTTCTACACATGAAGTTCGGGTTCATTCACCTCAGAGTGGTTGTGTAATGGCTTCTGTGGCTCTTAAGGAGATTTCTAGAGTTTGATGATGTAATTGGAATTATATGAGCATTGGCTTGAGACTTCAAATATTCACCAGAATACACTACACAGTGAAGGGATTTGAAAGAGGTGGGCATCTAGGAGGCGAGGGTAGACTATTTTAGAAAAGAAACGGTAGATTATACGAGTCACTATCAGTTACACCAATGAACCAATCACAACCTGCTTGTAGGCTTGTGAAAGCAATGTCTACCAGATGTTTTTTTTCCCCATTTAAACTCCATGTATTCGTGTCAGAAAAATGTGAATCCACTAGATTGCAAAACGGGGCACTCACTTGTAAGGGGCCTTGTTCCTGACGGCTACGCTGGTGAGCAGCGAGGACTGAAACCAGCCTCCGATCTGGTCCTTCCCTTCCACATATGCATCTGCCCTGGAGACTGACTCTGCACGGCGGGTTGCAGAGAAAAGAGGCATAAATCGGTTAAATTCTACAGTCACACCACACACACACAGATTAGATAACCAAAACAGTTTGGGACAGTCTTCCTGTGCACTGAGGAGAGAAACGTCTAGAAAAGACAAGAGAGACAAGCCAGTGTTAGTGTGGGACTCCAACCATTCAGCGTGTGTGCACTCAAAGGTGACCAATGCTAAAGACTCAATAAAGCATGCCTTGTTTATCTAGTTTGAACTCAAGGTGGTTACAGTTTTCATTTAGACAGCTATCCGACAGGCAGGTGTTGCAGCCATGGCATCACAGGCACAGAGAACTTTCAGCCTCGTCCATCTCCATCCTGAATCAATCCGACAGACAAGACACACAAAAAGAAGAGTTTGGGCCGTTCCTGGAAAAAGAAACAAACTGCCACAGAGAGAAAGAGAGGAGGAGAAAAAGCTTCCACATTTTGGTATTCAGAAACACTCCTCACAGCACATTCAAATATGCTATGACGAGCATTAACCAACATACTGAATGGGATTGAATGATCTTCAGTATTTGGGCACAACAGAGGTGCTGCGTTGTTCAGAGGCAGAGGGAGGAGGAGCAATCTGGCATTGGAGGACATTTAAAGCAGACGGACAGGACAGAGAAACAAAGACACATTGGAAGACAGAGGCAGCTGTGTTGGCCGGTAGGCGGAGGATCAGATAACCTGTGACCAGAGGTTTGCAGAGCGGAGCGGGGAGCCAGCTGAGACGTGACTCAGGCTCCTCAGTGTCTTCCTCCATCTCCTCTAGAAAACGACAACACAAAACCAAACAGCGACATTCAACGGCTACCCCTTAAAAAGCCTTCTGGTCTTGGATTCTGATTTGTGACCAAACAAAAAGACATCTTCGTCTAATTAATTTTCGGTATTATGTGTTATGGTAAGCAAGTTGGAAGACATAATTAGTTGCCATCCATAGAGTCACACGTACAGAAGCCCTGAGAGGAAAGTTGCAAGAAAACAATATTGTGATGATCTATTTTCCAAGTGTGATCTGAATAGTTTGATCTCCTGTGTTTATGACATATACACATACATA